TGTAAGTTGATCCTTCCAAACTCTGGGGATCGTCTCCAAGAGCTTCTCGTTATCGGCGAGACGAGCAAGAAGAAGGGCCAGGCGACCCACTCAGTCATCAGGTACTTGTTCGCAAAGTGGCCCACACGAGCCACGTCCGCCATTTCGTCGGCCTGGAGATTTGAGTACTGAGTTGCGCGAGGACTAAGAGGAGATACGTCGGGAATCGTTCTCCGGGATAAGGGGTTCACATACGCTGCAAAAGAGTATCGTAAAAATGCCCGAAATTGGGCGACAGTGTCTCCCATCAGGACAACGGGTCTCTCGTCGGTCTGGCCGTCGGCAGGTAGGTCTCCCTGGGGCACCCCGAACATGCCCGCAATAGCCTCAGAGTGCCGGGTCAGATGAACGCGGTGAAGCTGCTCATAGAGTGTCTTCGCGGGCGTCACGAGCTTGGCTCGCGACGTCGGCGAGACTTACAGTAAGCCACGTAGCATTTGAATGAATATTGATGAGCGGGCGCTACGCGTCCCGGGATGAAACCAGACGCTACGCGTCTCGAAGTGGAGGCGTTGGAGGAGGAGGGAAGGGAAAGGAAAGAAGGAGAGAAGGAAGACACAAACCTATTGGTTTGTGTCTGGCGTGGCCTCTGGCCGCGGGCTGCGGGGCGGGAGAACCCGGGCTTGCTCATTGCAAACCAGGCGGGCGAAATCCAAGAAAGCCCCGGGAAAAGGCCCGCGGCCGAGTCCGACGCGACGCGAGACTGAGCCAATCACTGCATTTTCAGCAAAAACTCCCCGGGCGGGCGAAACTCGAGAGATATGTTGTTGCTCAAGTGTAGCCCGCTGGCGAGATTAAATGCTGGGGTGGCCACGCTTACGCATACAAAAGCCGCATTTTAGCCCGAAAATGGGTGATCCGTCCCCGCCTTGCTCGGGATTATCTCGAGCCTCCGGGAATAGCCTGGATGGCGTTTCATTGGCTCGAGGTTTTGCTTTACTTTGGCCGACCTAGGGATATTGCAGAAGCACGAACTTGGCGCTTTCAGTCTGGTCTGTTGGCGTTACTCGGGCGAACCAAGTGGCCGGTCTGGGCAACTGGGCCAAAATACAACGCCGGAGTGTCGCAACCGGGCCAGATCAATAGCCCGACTTTAGCCCAACTCGGGCTATTTGATCAACTTATTTAACCGACGTTTGTTAGCGGCAAGTCGGTGTTTCTCTCTTTCTCTCTTTCTCTCTCCTGCTCCTCCCTCCATCCTCAAAGTTGTTTGCCAAGTCCCTGCCAACCCCACTCTAGCCAACAAAGCAGTGGCCCCTCCCACATCTTCCCACAAAGCAACTTGTCGCTCAGCGGTCCTCGCAAGTCTAATACTAGTACGCAGAAGAGCGCCGTTAACGCCTTCAAGTTCAAGTTTCCTTTCTTCCTTCAAACCTTGCTCCAAGTTCTGGTGGTTGTGGCCTACTGCGGTATCGATCTCAAGTTCTGGGGGGAGGTCAGTTATCATTTTATTTTAAGTAGTCAAAGCAGGTTAAATGTGTCCACCTACGTCGTCCATCTTGAATACATCATTGCTTTCCCTCTCTCCTTATTATTCTTTTGAAATGAAAAACAAAATTTGATGAAAAACCGAACAATAAGTAGCGGCGGAAACCCCGAACCGAATAAATTAGCCCGAGTGTAGCCACCCTTCCCTGACCATGTGCTCGAGAATAGCCCTCGGGCTGATCAAAGTATCTTGAGTTTGGCACCCAGGCCGAAGTCAAAGGCCAGACTTAATCCGTCCAACCGATTGTGATAGCACAAAGGGGCTTAAGTCGGGATTACCGAGTAGCCCAACGCGGGCTAATGTTGCTCGATATGACGACCCACGAGTATAGCCCGAGGCCCGGCTATCTACTAATCCCGAATTAAGCCTTCCGAGCGATCACTTAGTCTCAACTTTCGCCACACTGGACTTTTTGCTAAAAACGCAGTGAATGAATCCGGTCGCCCAGTGCAGAGACGAAGCCAGACAGCCCAGAAGCGCGTGGGGAGGCGGGTGGGGCGCGAAAGTTCTGGGCGGTAGGCGAAGTGGGATGAAGCGAGATGCGGGTAGAGGTCAAGCCGTGGCTGCAGATCAGCCACGTGATCGATCCGCTCAACTCCGCTCGGCGACTCAGGTATATTAATTCAAAGGCTCTGACGCCTCGTTCGACACTCTATCTAGCGCTAGGCCTCCTCGTGCCTCGGAGACCCAGCTAGCACTATGGAAACTAAAGTTAGGAGAATCACAGTGTGGCGCACCTTGAAAAGGACGTTCTCGATTCTGACTACACAGTCGCCCTCTTCGTCGTAGTATTCGGCGTCTCGGGTCGGTATTACGACTTCCTCGTCGTCGCTTTCCCTGCCACTGGCGGAGGAGGATCTGGCGCGTTTCCGAGGCATGATGATAGTGAAAAGACAAGAGATCAAGCAGATCAAATCAGTTGTGATCCGCACGGACCTTCGAGTTAGATCATTTTATTCTTCTGATTCACCACTGACCAACTTTCCTCAACTTCATCCAGATTTTGCGTAGATCTACCAAAGTCGAACGGCGTTAAACCAGGACCCATGGATTACAGGAACGCCGTGAAGTGGGAATATCCCAATTATCCTCCCGGTTCAACCGGTTAACGGTCTGCAATATGCGAGGTTGAACACGGTTCATCTGAGTTATTACTCACCGTTCAATCCCAGTGTGCCACACAGATTCCAAGTAGCCCGGAAGAGACGGTGGCGTAGCCGTTGAAGTGTGTTCGGCCACTCACTCCGTCCGCATGTGGATGCAAGAGTTCTTGCCGCGAGAGCGGCTCCCAGTTACTGAGGCAGGAAAGAGGACTCGTACAACTGATAGATACGCGGGTAATAACCACTACCCAAACAGGACGAAAAACAAAAATCCCAGGTACGATGCCAATTTGCGCGCACTGAAGTTTTACTTCGCCAACAAAAACTTGGGTGCGCGTTCGATCCTGCTTCCCATACGGATACAAAATTAGCTCAATCTAGTTCTCTAGCACGGCACAGGCAACCTACCTATAGTCGCCACCGTTCAACCTCAAGCTCAACGCTCGAGGGAAGCGCCGTCGTGGCGTCCCGGACGAAATCATCGGATTGTGTTTGAGCGTCGGCAGTCCAACTACTGCCAAGCGTCACAGACGCGAGTTCCACCCGTCTGAGGGCGGGCAACATCGCCAACCAAGGAAGCAAGACCCGTGCTTCGTCAAAGGTGCAGTTTTGGACCCGAACGCGTTCGATACAGTATGCCGTTCCGACGATGGTACGTTCTTCCTCGCCAATGGGAATGGTGTCGGGAGGGGGCCACCACGAAGGGACGTGCAGACTCAGCGTGAGTGTGGTGGGCCGTCCCCGAAGGGAAATCCGACGCAGCGCGGATTTCAATCCTACGATGTGGCCTGCGGTGTGGCGCGGAGGGCAGTTAATCGAAAGTGTGGACACGGACGGGGAGTCGAAGGCATCCAATAAAGCGATGAGCCCGAAGCCGTCCGAGGCGTCCAATGACGTTAGACGGGGGAGAATCATGGGAGGGCGGCAGAGAGTTTTGGCGTTCGCGAAGCTCTGCACATCGTCCGCATCGCGGATGAACCGGATGTTCATGATGCCTTGGTGGCGGCCCACAAATTCACTGAGAGCCCCCGGATCGATAGTATCGGCGAGGATATCGAGCAAGCTGAGGAATGGAGCTGTAATGTGCGGGAGGATGGTGGAGAGAGCGGCGGCTGGGATGGCTTCGGTCGCGGCGAGCCGGAGAGTTGTCGTTGGGAAGGCCATCAAGGTGAATTGACTGAACGTCTCCGATTGAGTTCGAATCGAGTAGACGTGCACTGTGTGGATGGGGGAAAGTAGGAAGGAGGTCCGACCATTGTCTTTGAGGGGGATGACAAAGAAGGAGTACGTCTTGGAGCCAGATCCGATTGTCGCGCGGATTTTCGAGCGATACCGCCCGAAGCGTCGATATGTGTCCCCCCAGTTGCCAAGTTCCCAACGTAAGATATCCTCGGGTTGCACCTTACAGATAACTGACCCCGCGACGACGATGACGGGACCAGGTGTCTTGTGCGCCAAGACGGAGAGGACGTCAAGGAACGTGGTAAGCAACGACCTGGACGAATAGGGCCGCTGATTGTCGAAAATGTGAACCTGGAACAGATTGTGGCCCCAGTCCAGGGTAACATCGGTCAAATTTGGAGATTTTTTGAGAACTCTCAATAAACATCGAAGATCTCTAAGGACGTCGAATGCCCAGAAATTGCACACTAGACTCCGAGCGGCTGAGGTGACGCAAGAGAGATTCAGCGCCTTGAGATGGTGGGAGTGCATGGTCAGTGATTCGGTGCCCATGTTCAAGCCGTTCCTGCCCAGGTGCATAGCGATAGAAAGCTCGTTGAAAGTGCGGCAGACGCAGGCTGTCTGAAGAAGGGTACTATCGGGCAGGAAATTTAGGATGATGTCCCAGATTTCGACAGGAAAGATGGTTCGTGGGTCGGCGCGCCTGACCGTCGTTGACGTCCGGAGGACCTGACGCAGAGCAGTGAACCTCAGCCTCATCGCGAGAGTTGACCGACGTGGCAAGAGAGAGGAGTCGATAACCATCGGGGCAGTGCAGATTTGTGGACAGATGTTTTACTCTCGGACAACAGGTTCAACTTGAACAAGGTCGACGATGTAGACTCAGGATGTCCTCCTTTCAAAGGGCACCTACTTACCCTAAGACTAGAGCTCCTGTTGTGCAACTTGAACGTAACTTGTGCCGGGCCTGTGACGATTCGTCGGGAACTGAAAATAGTACTCACGCAGTGTTTGCCAATCTTCGCCGCTACATGTGGTCCTTCTTTCTGTGGTAGGACCGAGTGAAATCCGCACTTATTTTCCACGGCCGGCAGCCGTAAGTATCTCCCTCGGTCGGTATGTATTTGCATGCAGAAAGAACCAGTCGGCTTCCGGTACCGGACCGTCATTCACGCTCGCGTGGCCATGGTTGCATGGGGTAGAGGTTATCCCTCCAGATTTTGACTTTGTCATGTATATCTTCTGGCGACCCCGGTTCGATCCCGGGTGCGACCTTACGCTCTGGGTAGTCCACTTTTTTCTCCTATGGCCCAACGCCCCTACGCCGTTGCAAACGGAACTTCCGCGTCCGCCGACGTAATTTCGAGCTCCGGCCCCAGGGCCGAACGACAGTGGTTCCTCGGACCTCTAGCATAACCTACATTGGGGAGCGTGTGAATGCTGGGAGAATTTAATTCGCTTGAATGGCAGCCTTTTCCTACTTGACCTTTCGTGGAATAATCTACCAAAGTGCTTGCACAGATCACTGCAGCCACCAATTCAAAGCGAACAAGTGAATACCGAGAGAAAAGTTCCCTCTTTCTCACTCTACTGTACGACCCTGTATGGAAGCAACGGTCACGGTAACGGAAGCCCCGTTGCGTTGCTTATTTTTGGCGGGGTCACGGTCACGATGAGGCTCGTTGCCTTGAATTTATCGTGACACAGCAAGACAAAAAGTGAAAAAAATCCCTATGGCCTCGCAAGTACATAAAATGAGTGGGAAACCAAGAATGTTAGTGCCTCGACAGCATTCAAGTGTACAAACTTGCATAACACTCAAATGATACCTATACAGATGCCCCTCAAATTTATTTTTTGTTGCTTCTTTGAGCAACCGTCACGCTCACGGTGGGGTGTGTTGCCTGAAAAAAAGGCAACGGGTGTGTCACGGTCCTCGAGCCGTTGCTTCCATACAGGGTCGTACAGTACTCTCCAAGTTTTCTTGTTACTTGTGGGTTGTTATGGACTTTACTCTATGGTGTTCCGATCTCGAGGTTGTTCCGAGGTTCTCACTTCTACTCTTCTGTTCTACTGCGCCCGTGAGCGACCGCACAGCGGCGGGGTTGGAAGAACATTTCCATTATGTGACGGTGGGTTCAATTGATGATTCTGGCGAGCTACTTCAAATCAACGGCCGGGTCAGGGCAGTCGAAGTCATGCAGATTCAAGGCGCGCCTTACTGCTTCGGATGTCTATTCGTCGATTTGTAGCATCTGCCGACTCGCCGAGAGGCGCGAATGAAAGGTCCTTGGCTCGGGTTTCCGTCGCGGAAACATATATCTCCTATTGAAGCACTTCAAAACTCTCATCAAGATGTCTTTCCGATGTCGCGCAGGTCGCGGGAAGGACGAGGAGGAACAAGACAAACCCGAGTTACTATTGCAAGGGGTCCAACTGAAGGCAAAGCCTCGCGGTACGGAGGGAGGGCTGATCAAGTTACAGTTCAAGAAAAGTTACCGCAGCGGGGATGGAGGTAAAGAAACATCACTGTTGTTCTCTGCGGCCAGAAGTATTGAGTGAGTGGTATGCGGATTGAGCAGCGAACTTACAATTCATCAATTTCGGAAATTATCTCCATCTCGCTCTCCGTATCCGAGTGTTCGTGGGCACTGTGTGTCCTTTTCGCGATGGTCCATCCATGGAAGGACAACCTCAAGATGGAGGGAAATGCCTGACGTTAACGCGATATATGTAGGGCATCAATTCTGTCCGTGATCCGCAGTTGCCGTAGTTTACAGCCCGACTGCGCGAAGAAGGCGGTCAAGGCGTCGATGGGGCTGGTCCCGAGAAGTTCCTCAGGGACACAGAGGCTCTGGAGCCTAGGGAGGACCAAGAAATTAAGACGTTGGAAAACCGAGTCGACGCCCCTCAAATCCAAGGATTCCAAGGACGGAAGAGTGATTTTGGGCAGATCGGTAGGATGGTGATAGGACAGGCCAAGCTCGAAATGCACCAAGTTGGGTGTTTATTGTAAAACTAGTGCACACTCATCGGGGAAGACCGAACGCAAATTCAGTGAAGTCAATTGGGCCCACGGGAGCCGAACACTCGTGGCATTATAGTCGCTCAGGTATTGGTAGTCGAGAACCACAGTCCGTAGTTGTGGTGCGTCGTGGAATAGCATGATCTCACGATGAGGCAGCGAGTGTCGAAGAGATAATTCGAGGCGTCGGAGGAGAGGCATGTGGAGTGCAGTTGTGGGTAGATCAGATGCTAAGACTCTGAGCGTCAGATCCTGCAAACGGACGGCTTCCCGAAGGACTCGTGTGATGGCGCTCGAGGCATCCCAGTATGACGAACGACGTTGATGTGCAACGGGCATTGGCGTGACCGGTCGAGCCAAAGGTTGCCGATTTCGAGTTGTGACTCGATGGGAACGACGGCGTTCGACAAGCCCATCACGCTCCAGAGACCGGGAGTACTGAGGGCGATATCTCGCCATGGCTGGCAGACTTGTGTCAAAAGAGTGGGCGGGCTGAATCCCACAAATATGGGTAGGCGGGAGGATAGTGCAGGAAGATTTCGGAGGTGATTTCGTTGGGCAAGGTCAGAACTGGGTAGTGGTATGAGTCGAGTTGCTTCTGTGCGACGTCTTTCTCGACTCTCAAGGTGCGCATCGCGTGCTGCAGATGCAGACTCTGGGACTCGATGGCTGCGATACGCGTTCGATCTACCGCAAGATGGTCAAGCATGAGGCCTACTGTTTGCACCGAATAAAGTCAGATCTCGACAGAGTTTATGGTCAGTTGTAAATGTACCCGATAGCCAGTGAGGTCTGAAATCTTTTCAATCAGGTCGCTTCGAAAATTGGTCCGAACGTACTACTTACTCTGAATCTACGTCCGGTGTGGGCTTTTCAGGGAGCTATTTCGCGGGTTGAGCGCCTGGGTTGAGATTAATCCAAAAGCGAGCGAGGCGAGGGGCAAGCGACCGCCAGCAAGGTGGTGGCAGGAGGAAAGAAGCACTTGCACTGCCACTGATACTATTAGCGACTGGGTACTGGGCCAGTCGGGGTAGTGGGCCACTTGGATGCTGCAGGTTGTTATCTTGCGGAACTGCGTGGTTTGGTGAGTGTCTGAGCTTGACGTGGACCAAATTTGGAGGCCGGGTGATGCACTGATCAGAAGCTGTGCTCCATTTGGTTCCGGGTGCAAGGTGGTGAGAAATGATTAGTAGAGCCGGCAAGCGGCGGGGCACAAATAGAACCAGAGGTTTTGCTCGGGTGTCGCGCCCGACCTCGTTCCTCGGTCGGCGCGATCCCCTCGCCCGAAGGTTGAAAAACTAGGTGAAAAAATATTTCTAGTCGATTTTTTCGGGTACCTTTTTCGGTCAGCTTATATAAGCCATTTCTGGCCGGACATTTTTGGAGCCCAAGAGCACAAATTAGAACTAACGTTCTATTTGTGAATCATCATCCCCGAGGGGATGCCTCGTTCTTCCTCCGCCCATTCCTCAGCCAATTCTCGGCCGATTACAAGGTTGAGGGCTCATTTTGCTGCCTCGACCTCAGGGGATATTTTCGATATGCACTGGATACTGAAACGACTCCAGATTCTCTGTCATTCCCTTCAAGAATGGCAAAACCTTCTTCTGGGTGCCGCCAGGCAAACCACTACATAACGACCCACCTGACGCTCCTGTGAGCCCAGCGTCTGGCAGGTGTAATTGGCACATACATTTAAACGACCTGACATCTCAATTTCGCCTTTCACCCTCCAGCATCGCGTTCGCTATGGGTCATTGCATCGAAGTAACCAATTTCAGTGTCGGGAATAGATAGATTTTGTTCAGAGGATTGCTACCATGGAAGGGCTGCCCAATGTACCTATGTATGCGCTATTACTTCTTACCCATCCCTCCAGCACTTAATTTGGCCCAATACTCGTCTCACTGCTTTGTAGCGGACGCAATTTACCTCTATTTCCCAAGGGGAACTCGGGTTAAAAGTTTGGACGTAGGGTCGAATTCCGCCTAAAATGAGGGCTGGCAATCGACTTCTGATTTTTTTGGATTTTTCCCGATTTATTCTCGAAAAGTTCCCACTAGGAAGCTCCGACTTCGTCGGAACAGACCTTGCTTGCGCAAACGCTCAGCAGGTCCGGCCTCAGAAACTCGGTACTTTGACAGGTCTGGGTCAAAAATTTTCGAAAAATGCTGTAATGAATGTGTTCGTTTCAGGAAAATTGTCAGAAAAAACCGGGAAAATATTCGTCCCAGCCATCAAAGTTACGATATCTCCCCAACCTGGCCTCGTATGAACCTGGAACCTTCAGATATCGATTTCCCACCCATTTTTACCCTCGAATTCGACCGCACTCCGAAATTTTAAGCCCGAGTTCCCCTTGCTATTTCCGCCCTCCTCCCTGGCAGGAAGGCCTAGTAATTATACCCCTTGTACCCCTTAAATCTCCGTTTTGAAGGTGTAAAATCATACCTTAGAATCCCCTGATTGGTTTCGAGCTCACTGGGCTGCATGTTACGAGTCCCAACACCTTGTTTAGGCCGGTGGCCCACTAGCCCATTGATTGCCATTTTGGGACACCACCCAAAGTAAATTCGTCGAGGGCTCAAAACACGACCTAAAATTGTCCAAAAATGTTCTATCTCACTCTCAGTATGTCTCTCCTCAGCCTGGGGTCGAGACCCGGATATATATTGCCTTCCACGAGCTGAACGGCGGCTAAAAGTGTCAAGGTGGCCCAGTACCCGGTGACTAATAGTATGTTGTTCGCTTTTCAATTCCGCTGATGATGTATCAGAGGTTCCAACTCCGCATCGCCAATCGTGTGAATCCGTGAACCCAAAATTCCAGTCAAAGAAAATCAATTGAAAAACTTTTCAAAGAGGCAAGCCGCTGTTACTACTCTGCAATTGAACACACGATATCATGATGATATTTCTCGGTCTTCCGAACAGTATGGATAATCCTTTCTTCGTGTTCCGGGTCCTGCGGCCCAATGACCAATCAACCCTGAGTAAATCTAGCTCAGATCAATATCTACCCGGCTTCAACCGATTCACCGGGCAGAGGCGGTGTTGGATTGAAAGCAGATATAAAGCGACATCAGGTAGTAAATCACCCCTTACCAACGCCATACATGAGTACTCCCACTTCCTCTCGGATTTGGGACGCACGGTGAGCTCGCCGCTCGGCCCTCGTTGAATCATTCTCACGATGAGTGCCACAGCTTTCGCGGCCCTGTTCCGCACGATTTAAATTATTACAGTAAATC